TGTTTCTTTGAGATAAACGTGAGTTTAATCCAAACGTGAGTCGTTATCACCGCACAGAAAGAAAGAGGTAATAAGCCTTTGAATTTTGGCCGATAGTGCCTGTTTTAAAGTAACGGACTGTAGGAAGGCTGCCGCTGAATTTCTTTCAAAATATTCTAATTGTAGGGAAACTTGCAATGCGTAGCTGCACCATAAAATCTTTCATACTGATACGGTAAATTTAAGAATTGTGTTCGAATGTAGGTAAATATTGGAGAGTTTATAACACTCTGTAATTAGAACAATCATTCATGAACACTCTTTTCCTTACTTATTTGGTTTTGGAATATAAAATAGTGGAAGCAATTACAAAAATTTAACTCAAATTGAAAGTGAGAATGATTTAAATAATAGCCGCGAGCAAAGTGTGGAACATTCCTTGCTAGCTAGTTTAAAACAGAAAAAAGTTGCGGAACATTTCAAGTGAACTAAAAGAGCAGAAAATTAAAATAGCGAAATTATAAATGTAGTAATAGCGAGGAAGATTATGTCATAAGTTTATACAACTCAAAATTGTGTCGCTTATTCTTTTACATGATTTTACATGAAATTTTATATCCATTTGAGCATAAATTCCAGTTCGTCATACATATTGACCTAAATGTGATATACACCATCCGGAAAACGAATTTATAATGATGACTATTTGCTTTTTTATGTACAGCATTTAGTTTATTCTGAGATCTGTAATTATTTACAGCGAAGATAAAGGCACGCCTTGCAAATTTCTGAATCATGTTCCATGAAGCTATAAGAATAAAAGGGAAAAAATAGCCATCGCTCACTTAAAGAGACGGGAAGAAAACAATTTCCGAAACGCACCCTCTGATACATAAAGAAGGAAAGAAAGTGCATGAATATTTTGCAAGATGAAGATCTAAACTGTAATTTATTAAGAGGAAATGGCAATGATTTTTAGATATGGCATATATTTTTCGGATGGTTTACCACCAACCATCAACCGTGGTAATGTGTGTGTTATAAGAATTGTAAGGAAGTATGGCAGAAATTCGAATTTTTTGTGTGGTTTTGGAAGAAGCAAAACATACATGTATTGGTGAGTGTGTTCGATGAGGTATGACTTGGCGAGGTGGATATAAGAAGTCCCGTTAGGTAATGACGTAACATTCGAAGACCAAGTCAGCTAACTCATGGAACGGGTGAGTGAAACAATTTTGTTTGAACTTCACTATTGGGTGTTCGAGGTGAAATACTTAAACGCGTAATTCTTTTTCCTTACATTTTTAACTTCTGATTTAACAGTTGCGTAATTTGAAGCATATTGCTATGCATCGGATATATTATAAGCATCTTATTTTGTACAAATAAGTTTCGACAGCATTTTTGCTGGGGAGATGCAAATTCGTCACTGTTGTTGTTGTGACTTTTGACAATAACATCAGAAGAAAATCATGAATTTTATCGTGGCAAGGAGCGAAGCGTATATCGCTAGCATGGACTTTCGATGCATTATAGATGGCACTGCGACTTTGGGAATGCTATGCAAAACTTGTTATATTAAATTAGTCGATGATGCAAACTTTTTGTGATTCGAAAACTAGAGTAGTATTATAAAGCACCCGTAAAATCAACCACTAGCATTAGTGCCCATGAACTAATAAATGTTTCGCAATACATTTGTTTGTTGATAAAAATTTTAAACCATTGAGGCTTGATGCGAAAATTTATTAGGAAAAACTAAATCTCAGCGCATGAAATCAGATATTTTTGTAAAATACGGCATTAGTGATAGGACGTCATTTTGGGTAAGAGGAATAAAAATGACTTTCTAGTAGATATTTGAAGCTATAGTACAATTGATCGGAGTATAGGAAAAGAAAGATTAAATCTTATTTTACTTTATTCTTCTTAAATGTATTTTCCTTCCAAAACTTGCGACAGTTTGAATAAATAAAGTACTTTATTATACAATAATCCATTTTAATAACAAAATAATACGAACAAAATAATACGATGTGTTTTCCTTCCAAAACTTGCGACAGCTTGAATAAATAAAGTACTTTATTATACAATAATCCATTTTAATAACAAAATAATACGATTCTTCATAACGGTACTTGATTGGTAATTTTTCGTTTCTGTTGATTTTAAATGTTGCTATTTCACTTTCAAAAATGCTGCTATTCAGTGTTGCTACTTCAATTTAAATAATCAGACCTTTTAAATTTATTATAATGTTTCAGGAAAAGCATTAAAATAATTTTAAAAGCCTGATTTTTTTAATTCTTATAAGAAAAAGTAGTATTCTGAATAGATTTAATTTATTTTTCTTGTATTCAAATTCTTCTGAATATAAATATTGATACCGACGCACGTATTATTTTTACAGCATGAAGGAGGCACACGCTTAAAAAACTAGCATACGTTGGTATTTTCAGACGGTGAAACTTTTATGCTAATGAATTCAATCAAATTTAAAAATTAAATGTTATAAATCTGTGCTACTTTATTTTTATAAATTATGTCTACTTAACGATACTTTCGCGGAAAGTTATTTCTTTTCTTTTAGGCAGTTCATCCTGTCGACTAAAACCATCCTGCTGTCAGAGATAGATTAAAAATTCAACAAAACTCTACTTGTAGGGTTACAACTAATGAGAGAATTTACAAATTAATGGTTGAATAGCTTCTGGAAAATAACGTTAAAAAATTAGGCTCCTTGTAATATTATAATTATGAAGAACAACTTTCTTCAGATAATATCCCAGATCATTCCTCTCTACAAATCGCTTAGCAAACTCGAATAGCAAGTGGAAAATACTATGATTGTGATGAAAAGTGTCGTCTGCTAAATCTTCGAAAGCAGCTGGGCGTTTTCTTTGTTGGCATGAATTACTGTTAAACTTTCAAGCCCATAAACAACCTTTCATGTAATGTTAACTTGCATAACTTGGTTGTAATCTGAGCAGTTTATATAAGCTAATCTGACTCTTTGTACACGACTGTACATATTTCTACCTTCGTGAGAGTAACTGGATTATATTAAATGTGCAAGTGATTTCTTATGTGCATTTTTTTCTTAAATAACAATACATATCATACAATTTCTTTAGCAAATTATAGCTAAAAAATATACTTCCGCCGTACCTGGATTCGAGCCCAAGACCCTCCGACTTCTGTCTCTATGAGCATTTAAGATGCTTCTTTGTCGTTCCAAAAGTGCGCAAATCACTCAGTCTAGAAAGATATTTTAAAACTGTTCATTACATTTTTAGTACTGAATGCCCGATGATTACTTAAGAAATTTAACGAAATCGGAGTTCGTCTCTAAATTCTACAGTGACCATTCCCTCCAAAACATTTTGCTCATAAACGCTACAGCACTAAAATCCAGGAAGCAGACACTGCATCAAAAAATGTTGTGAATCCTTTAGTTAATAATAACAAATCATTAAATAGACAAACGATAGTAAAAGAAGCTTATATTAGGAACAACTGGAATCGTTTTTTGATAGATTTATAAAACAAAACGGAAATAGTTTCAGCTTTAAAATCGTTAGAGTATTCATATCAATCATAAACAGAACTGAAGCATTTGCGACTCATAGAAACAGAATTAATAAATGATATGGAAAAATGCATTTGCCTATCTTTGCAATAGCATGAATTAAACAGATATAGGATTATTAGCAATTTATATAAAGATGATGTTGAATGATTTTTCTGTAAAGGAAAAATTTTTAAATGCTTCCACTAACTTGGAGAATATATTTTATATTTTAAAAATTGTTTTAGTAGATAAAAAAGTAGCTCAAAAGTTAATTTTTGTGATGATAGACGGCGAGCGAGCAGTGGCTGGTAAGAAAGAATATGACATGTATAGAGGATACCTTGTTTCCTAACTTTTTACGTATCAATGTATTACACATCCACAAACCCTTTGTTAAAAAATTAACAATTTTAAACAAGTACGAGTAATTTCAGTTGCAGCAAAAGGTTATCACATCTATAATAAAATTAAATGCTCTATTTTGTGAATCTTCCTTTATATACTACAGTGAAATGGCTAAAATGAATGAAAGGTAAAATATTTGAGTAATTTTGCCTTATTTATTTAGTTAGAAAATAAGGATTATTTAATCGACCTCAAATTGTCTGCTGATGTAACGTCAAGCTTAAAGAAATTAATTGTAAAACTACACAAAATAAATCCCCATATCGCTTATATGATGGGTGCAGTAATTGCATTCATATACCAAACAGTTTTATTGAAATGTCATTTGATAAAACCTTCATTATCACACTTTCCTAATGAATAATATATTAGTGGTAGCCCAAAATTTGAAACATTTACTTCTAAATAATGTATAAAAATTACAGATGCACTATTTAAGGCGGTTTCTTCCATCTTTGTTGCTTTTATGGCAATAGAGCCTAGTATAAATATTTTTATAAATTTGTTCAATACTACTGAATTTTATGTGTCTGGCTATAATTTCTAAATATATTCAGTTTAATAAATCCTATAGCCTAGAATCAGAAATAAATGTTCAAAATGATCTTATTTTGAATAATGAAACACGTTTTGGAAAATAGTTACTTTGACAATAAAGATAAAAATAGTTACTTTGACAAAATGTGCTTAAATGTATATTCGTGTTGCTTAGCTTCTTACCCAGAATAAGAATTACTTATAATTTTATAATTAAGCAACCATACTATTGCTATGTTCTAGAGCTAACGGCATCTGAAATTTTAAGATAGTGTTTTCAAAATTGATTTTTAAGGACTTTGTCTATATATACTTTTTCTCTCTTTCTTTCAGATTCTATTGCATCTTTTGATCGTTTGTATTCTCGGCGCTTTAGTTTCCGGAGGAGGATGGAGTTCTGGAGGGGGTGGCGGAGGAGGATGGAGCAACGGCGGAGGTGGTGGCACTAAAGGAGATACAGGAGGTGGGATTACTGTTCTCGCCATTCCTCTTACTCTCACAGCAACATCTGCTGGTGGAGGTGGAAAAGGAGGTGGAAAAGGCGGTGGAAAAGGTGGCGGAGGAGGAGGATGGCCGTCAGGAGGCGGTGGTAAAGGCGGAGGTGGTGGAGGTTGGTCATCAGGAGGCGGCGGTAAAGGTGGAGGTGGAAAAGGTGGAGGTGGAGGAGGATGGCCTTCAGGCGGAGGCGGTAAAGGTGGCGGAGGTGGTTGGCCTTCTGGAGGAGGTAAAGGAGGTGGAAATGGTGGTGGGGCTGTCACTCTTCTAACATTTACAATTCCTACTGCACCTGCGTCAGGCGGGAATGGCAAAGGAGGTGGAGGAAAAGGAGGAGGAGGAGGAGGAGGCTGGCCGTCAGGAGGAGCCGGCGGATGGCCCTCTGGTGGAGGTGGTAAAGGAGGAGGTGGCGGAAAAGGTGGCGGCGGCGGTGGTGGTGGTTGGCCATCAGGTGCTGAAGATTGGCCTTCTGGTGGCGGTGGTGACTGGGCCGGTGGCGGGGGCGATTGGCCGAGTGGTGGTGGAGGTGGAGGCTGGGAAGAAGCTGAAGACTGGTGGTGAGGTATGTCATTAAAAATTTATATGAATAAAGCTTTTAAATACAACCAGATGAGAGAAATTAAAACTATAAATCCTACATTTCTTATGCTTCCGTGAGTAAAATATAAATTTCACTGATTAAATTTTGATATGTTTTATACTTTTCATAAATCATTTTTTGTAACACGTTTTCTATCTTAAAGCATTAATTTAGGGACGCGAAATTTGCTCATGCATTTAAATATTTGCTTTGGTAAAGATGCAGCTTTTATTAAAATCTAGACTAACCTGTTCAGACTTAAAATAAAATGCAATAAACCCACGTTAGTTTCTATACAGTTTCAGCTGAAAGTCAACATTCGTCATACGATTCAAAATTAACTCTGAAAGCAGTTTTCAAACACATTTCATTTTGGATCTAATGAAATTTCATTTTCATCTCAAGTAGTGATTATGAAAACTCATGAATGATATTATTTTTATTATAGGTATCACTATATACCATTTTCATTTTAGATAACTTTTCCGTTTTAATATTATATTCTCAGTCTTTTCTTTTAAAGTATTAATTTTGTTCTTTATTGAAGCAATATTAATGACATACAAGTTGTTTTCAAATTCAAAAAATTAAATTTTGTTTTATTATCATTAATAAACACAACGAAAATAAATTTTATGCTTTTAGTCGATGATTATATTTTAAGTATTGTTTAAACCATTAATCTACACAGAGTAGTCAAACTCAAAATGATGTTCTTAATTTTTAATAATATTATATATGATTTTATATTTGTGTGTAACTGATGTTAAAGTTATCCGTCTTCTTTCAGGAATTCATTTTTAGCAAAACGTTAATTACACTTTTCTTATATCTGCAGTGACTGAATTTTTATTTTATTATTAAATTGCAAAATTTGATATAATTTGATCATAATTGCTGTTTATTTCATAAATTACGGTTTCATATTTTTAATTGTATAATTTCTACATGCCATCTTACCAGATTTAAATTCATGATCTATAATCCGGAAAAACTCCTAATCCGGAATCGCCGAAGTCCCAACGAGTCTGGATTATGGACTTTGTACTGTACTTTAACCACACTGATAAAGAATCTTAAAAGCCTCAAAACGTTATAATCTGTAAAAGAGTCATTATGGACTAATCTAATCTTTATTTTTTCCAAAGTTATCCAATGCCATGTTTTAAAAATTTTAATCTTTCTTTTCTGTTTATGCAATATATTTAATGCAATTTCATAATTGCATTTTTTTTATTATTATTAACTTTTGTTTTGCATATTTACGCGAATACTTCTGATGAAATGACGTAGAATGTCTTTGTGTTTGAAAACAGATATTTCGTAGAAAACCAGCTTTTATCTGAAGCTGAAGTTTGCCTAACTTTTAAAACAATAAACACGTACACTTTAGCTTCTTTATTGAAGATATATTTAATAGAAAACGCAATAAAAATATAATAGTTCTTATATTATTGACATATATTTATATTTTGAACTTAAAAACAACATCTTAAAATTAACTGGTGCTTTTGATTGCTAGCCCCTTACATGAATCTCCTCTAAGTAAGTGTGAAAAAGTTTAAGGCTCAGCTCATCATAGGTTTACAAGAATGGATAGTGAAGAAAGAAGACTGAATTTGAAATTAGAGCATTTGTAAAATCTTAGTCTTTATCAATCTTAACTATGTGCCACTCAAAATTTTGTAAAATCGTTGTACTTTAATCCCATCTGTAGCTTACTTAATCTATTAAAATAATATAGCTAGATTTTGTTGCTTTTGAATATTTATTGTGCCTGAAGATGTTGGTTAGATTTTAATAAAGAGACGCAACAGAGTAGAAACATTAATTGAACTTAAATGATTATTACAATATGTATTTTACAAAAAGTGAATTACAGTATAAAAGGCACAAAAAGTGAATTACAGTATAAAAGTTCTCTACTGCTTGCGAAGAATAGAATACATATAGCAGTTTCAGTAGCATATAATATTTGGACTTCAGTCAAAGTAATTTTAGTAAACATCTCATCAAGACATACGCGCCCACCAACGGCCGAGCGGTAAAAGTAGCTGAACGCTGGAAGTTCGGTCCGAGGCTCGAATCCCGCGAACGGGCTGGCTGCATTGACGTTTTCGTGGTTTTCCCCATGTGTAACGTGTATACGAGCCAGTTTCCCTTAGAAAGCCCTCCACGAAGGCATTCCTCCCCTTAGCAGATAGCCCTCGAGGAGAGTGTTTAAATTTAAGCCTTCCATCAGAATCTGTGTTACAAACAGTAAATTTAATTTAGTTACAAATTAAAGAATCTTGGCTAACTTCAGGGTCTAGATAAAATTCTAACCACATTTTCAGTAACAGATGCTCAATACTTTCGGACTGCAAGGAGACTGTCCAAGTTTTCTCTTCGTGTTTTTGTATTACAAATGAGAATTCGTTTTACCTAATTGTGTAGGGGCGCTGACAGATCTGAGTTACGTTGTTTCGAGCTATATCGCTGTTACGAGCTATATAAGCTACGAGCTATATCGCTGTTACGAGCCATATAAGTTGCAGTACAACCTCAATCTATCATTCCCACAATGGCCGGTTTCTCGCATATCGTTTTCAGCGTTTCTGGCCTCAAATGAAGCGTTGTACACGAAGTTCTACCCAAATAAATGCTGCTTATCGCCGAGTCCATCGTTCCCCGAACTACCATTTTCCTACATTAACCCTGGTAGTTCGGTCCGAGGTTCGAATCCAGCGAACGGGCTAGCTGCAGGAATGTTTTCGTCGTTTCCTCCATGTGTAACGTGCTTATTCACAAAGTCTACAGACCGTTTCTTCTGCTGTTTGCTCCGATTGGTTAAAAGAGGTAGGGTTACAGAATCTAGTGCTTGGCGACTTTTGGTTCATCGTCTTTACAATTTGTATCTGAGCGTCGTGTACCAAAAAGTGAGCATAATCCACCGGAGAAACCGCAGCCCAGTGGTAACGAGCGGGAGAATAATTCCCAGACTTCTAGGTCGCCGGTTCTATCCCCGCTCGTAGCTTTCATAAACTCTGCTCTATACGGATTTATTTTTATTTTAACTTTATTGAATGACTTTGTCATTATTTGTCTTTTCGCCTTCAAGTACGGTGTTAAAAATTAAACGCCTTTAGTTTCTCTATTTTTGTTAATGTTAATTTTTCTTATTTTTATATACTGGTTTGTACTCTTTGTAGTAGGTACCAGTAAGCAAGATTACGATCCAAGATCCCGAAAAGCGTTTCAATAGATATAGCGCATAATGGAATAAAATATAATTTTAGTTATACTTACTCGTAAAAAGAATAGGTATCCGACACCCTTAAATGTTTACTGAATGTTTTCATTTGGTTAATTTTTTAATATTCTTTATTTGTATAAATTAATGCGCTATTAAAATTTACACAACAGACTCTTCCTAAGTGAAATAACGAAAAAGTGCATATGCTGTCTCGATATAAACACCTTTTCTTGTAAAACAATTACGTTACTTTTAAAAGTTTTAAATTCAAATACAAATAAACTATTAATAAGATCAGTAGGTTATTTAAGATATATTCCACACAATTCCTCTAAGCTTTCATTTATAAACTTAAAAAAATATTGAATGAAATAAACGCTGTTTCCGTTTGTTTGGCGTTAATTACCACGCCTACAGGGCGATAACTCGCCATTCCAAATATGACCGCCAAGCAGATGTTTCCTCCAATGAGAGCAGCCAGTAGCGAAAATGTCTGTAGGTTTTGTGAATATGCGTGTAACGTATATACGAGCCAGTTTCCCTTAGAAAGACCTCCACGAAGGCATCCCTCCCCTTAGGCAGATAGCCCTCGAGGCTTTGCCATAATCGCACACACACACACCTACATTAAACATTTGCAAATAACATTTCCGAGGCAGCATTTCCTGCGTTGGATCATTGAAGATAATTTTTGTAGTGAACTTCTTATTAGTTATCTACGCGACCTTCTATTTCGATTATAAATCTGATAGCACAGTAATTCGTACTTTGCTTTCAGATTCTCATCCGTATTAAATGTTATTTCAATGCAAGATGTAGTAAGGTTATTTCTGTTAGTTTTCATCAGTTTATAGCTGTTAATTTTTTAAAAGTTTCAGAATTAATTTGCATAGTTAATCTACATTGAGCATGAAAATGGGAAATGAAAGTAAAATTGAACTACTAAGAGTGGCGAGCTCCATCCAGACGTACAAAGCTTTACGAAAAATGAAAGATTTTTTTTCTATGTGCAAAGATAAAGCAAAGCGGAGTATGAAAACATTTTAAAATCCGAATCTTGAAAAATTACTTTCCAATCAAGGCAAAATTTAAATAAGAAGCAAAATGCACTTTACGATATTTTTTTTATTGTTGAAAAGTATATTTTTACGCAGTAGAAGTAATAATTGTCATTTGCTTACAATATGTAACAATTTCCCTATTTAATCCTTCCCCAAATTCTCTGTTTTTTTATTTTCTGTTCATTCTATGAATAAATCAAATTAAAGTTCAACTATAATAAGGATGGAATCATACATTTTGAGATAAAAGCAACTAGATCTATATTTAAACGACCAGTGTTCCTTTAATGTACTAAATAAATTTACTAAACTAGAAAGGAGGAATCTAGTATAGTAGGACTTAAAACCCTACTGAGGTTAAAACCTAAGATGTGTTAGTTTATTAAATTTTACTCTTAATTTATCATTGAGCAGTTTAGAAGTTTCAATTTTTATTTATGCATAAAATTCGATGTAAAAAAAAAATCTGTTAAAATTTGAAAACACCATGAGAAATCTTTTAATAAGTTTTTACTGATTATTGTAGATACAAGCATATTATAAGCATAAAATTTATGTAGTTCCTTCTCTTCCAGATGCTAGTACCTTGGAAGACTTACAACACGAAGTTCTTGAGGTCATATGTAGACCATTTTCCCCTTACATAGGTTTGTGCCCAGAAGAATTCAGACAGAATTCTGTTCCTACGAAAAATCAGAAACAGCCATCTGGAACGGGTAGAAGTTAAATGAATGTGAATTCTTTGCATTTGTTCAGGGAAATATACATATATTTATATATTTATATATATATAGTAGGTAGCTGTGCTTACCTCGCTTTTACGGGTTGCAGAAATTACTTTTGTAATCCTACGAAAGAATGTGATTTTAAATAAATATTTGATAAATCCCATTGTTGATATTCTTTTTACTGTGACACGTTCAATATAGATTTAAATGTAAACCTATTCAAGCAGTTATTAATATTAATTCTGATTAATTAAATTAATTTCATAGATATATATACTTTTCATTGGGTAAGTTATGTATGGCGGTGTGTCAATCAATCGAACATGCATTTATTTTGAAGCTAGTTTTCCTTTGGAATTTTTTAAAGTCAGTTTGCTATCAGATACTTGAAATGCTGAAGTTTAAAGTTCTTAATTCTTGGCACTTAGAAATGAAACATTAGATTGGCAAATCTTTTACGGGATATTAGATAAAAAAAAGCTAACATTAATTTAATCTAATTATTATGTGTATACAATAGTATAGTTAATAATTAAATTAATAATTTTGAAAAAGGTTAAGTTTTCATCCATATTTTTTTTTTACTTTACAATGATTTTAAAAAATAATCTTTTAAAATCCTGCAGATGGTTTAATTTTTGCATCCATTTTACCAAATATGAAATATGATATGAATAGAACATAGAAAATCCATTCATTCTTTTAGTGCAGTAGTAGTCAGCTTTTATTTATTCCATGCCCATATTCGGGAGGAGGACAGCGTTATTCAAATTTTTATGGCTCTAGGTACCTTTTTTTTCACATTGCGAGAGACATACTTACATTCATGCAGATTCTTCGTTATTTAATTTCTTTAAACAGGCGCGATAATATTTGGTGGCAACAATTTGAAAAGTGCTACACCGTAACATAAAATGTCGTTTCAAATAATAATTCAAATGTTATTTTCTATTAAATTAGACTAAAATTTAAGTAGACTCCGATGAATTTTAACGCCAGATGTATTACATAAAATTGCATTTGTAGTAGTTCCATTTTTTATTTGAAAAATACAGAAGCCAACATTTAGCTCTGCTGCAGGCGTCACAATTGAGAGAATATATAATATATACGACGCAATTGGAGCGCAATTTACCGCATTGGAATTCCGTCTAATATAAAAGCTTATCTTTCTTTTCCACGGAACCGGCAGAAAGTAAATAACAAGAAGAAACAAGCTTTCGGTGGTTATTCTTCTTCAGAGCAAGTAACCGTATCCAATGTTCTAGGGCAAAACTCTCATGAGCTCTCAGAAGAGGTTGTTGACCTGATCTTGACCTGAAGGATTTGTACTTACTGCTTGAAATAAAGAATTATCGCAGAATTATCGTTTTTCTCTACATTTCATTTAGTTTCCTCCTTCTTGTTAAAAACTTTTGATGAAAGTTAATGAGTGTGGTATTTCTATTATACTGAATTTGAGCAGAAAGCTTAGTTAATTATGGGGAGTGTACTACCAGTACTTACCGGTAAATGGAAGTTACTGTATCAGTAACTCATATCAGTTTGATTGGCATATATCTTTATAATTTGGCTGCCGATGTGTTTGAAAATATTTCATAAGATTACAATCTGATATAAAATTTAAAAGTAATTAATTTCCAAACTTGCCTGATACAATATTAGCATCCCAACCGATAAAATTCGATATCACAACATTTTATTTCGAAAATATTAATTTATAAATCACTGACGTCACATTCAAATTCAAGTATGACAAATTAGTAACAAAGCTACTTTTAAGCTTCGTATAATAGATAGACGAATAATTTATCCTGATATTCTGAAATGCGTTTTGAGTCCTGGTTTCAAAAACTAGAAGATTACGGAATTTTAATAAACGTAGTAAAACTGTAATTAAGCAGAAAGTTGTAGAATTAATTAAGACATAGATAAGAACAAACAGATGCCATTTATTTACCAGAGAAAAGATCTGATTCTGATTCTGAAAATTTTCTTGGCCCAAATCTATCGGCATCTGTTGCTATGTTACTACCGAAAAAACTAAAATTTGTGGTAAAGCCCAAATGACTGTACACCGTGAAGAATTGCAAGGCAAATGTATGTAAATAAAATGAATAAAAATTAATTCAAATTTTTAAAAAAGTATAAGGCATATTTTCAACAAGGAAAAAATAAGAGGAAAATACATTTTAACAGCGTTTGATTTTCTAACGGCTACCAGACCAACTAGTGTAGTACCTAAAAGAGATTTCCAGCAGCTCTTTTATTTAATAGAAAAATTATATTTTCAACTAGTTTTATTGCAAAGACATGTACGTATGCAGAAATTAGTTTTTTATGTAACGCTAATTATTCTAGTTTCTTATTTTTGTGTATGGTTTTTTTTTATTATTTTTATATATGTTACATCATTCCAGATTTTGTGTTCAGAATATAACATTTGTTCATATATTTTTTTTTTGTAGTGTATGGGAAAGTTTAAATAAAATGTTAATTTTTTTATTATGTACTTTATTCAATAATTTTTTGGAGTGAAAAATTACCGATAATCCTATTTTAATTTCCAAGTTTACCAAATCACTGGCAATTGAAGTCAGTGAATTAAAAACCTCTCTATTTAAATAGTTCACTGACAAATATCATTTCATTCAAAAGCTTGATCTGAATAATACAAGCCTTATTATTCCTCTGAGATCTGAGAATCCAATAATTAAACTGTCTTATTTTATCCTCGGCAAATTAAAAAAGCTTGATAACGATCGTTAAAATAACCCGTTTTTCTCTGTCAAAAAATAGACTTTTGACAGAGATATGAGAATTAGAAAATGGAAAGTTAGCGTAATAAGCGTTGAACTATTTACCGTAAAGTTAGTTACCGTAAAATAGTATTATTTTTCTATTTAGAAATCTGGCAAGAAAACTTGGCTATAAATTGTATTAATAAATATTGTCAAATGGCGATATTTAAAACAGAATTGAAATATCGAGTGTACATATTTTATTGACTGGATAAAAGGGCGTTTTCAATAATACCGAGTGAACAGAAAAAAAAAAAGATAGACGCAATTTTATTTATCATTTCAAATAGTTTTTTTATTAATTCACCATGAGCAACATTAGTAGCTTAAATATTAAATCTGTTTTCGATTTCTTCTAGACGTTATTAAATATTTGCGGAGTTACCTAGGTGTTTGTATGGTGATTCGACGTTTTAATTCTTCTGTACTGCGAAGCTCTGCAACATCAACTCATTTCTTCAGGTATCCCCAGAAAAAAAAGTCGAATGGCATGACGCCTGGAGAACGGGCTCGCCATGAAATTGATCCACCTCATCCTTACTTTATACTTCATCAAGGAAATTACGCACATTGTGTAGCCCAATGACAAGGGGTCCATCCTGCTGGAAAAAGTATTCGGCTTCATTTCTTATAATTGCGCACACCAAATCATCCCAGAATATCGAAAAAAATGTCAGAGTTAATTGATGACTCAGAAAAAAAGAAGAGTCCAATTATTCTTATGAACTAATGTGCACCAAACGTTACTTTTAGGGCTACCTTGGTCAATTTCCCGTACAGAGTGTGGATTTTCTAGCCTCCAAGCCCTCCTGTTATGTCGATTAGTATCTTCTAAAACATGAAACATTGCTTCGTTGCTGACTACGATTTTCTGAAGGAAATGATCATCATTACTGATAAGGTCAAGAGTAGCTACAGAAAATTCCTTACGAATGACTTGATTATTAGGCTTAATTTTTACCCAAATTTGCAATTTACGCGCAGTCAGTTTCAACCACTCATGAACAATTTTATGAACAGTCGACCTGGGAATTCCTGTTTGTAGGCTGACATGGAGAATGGATTTATTAGGGCTGCGTACAACCACATCTCGAATTGCGAAAACATTTTCATTACTGATGCTTGGCTTTTCTGCACCTCCTAATGGAAAACATGTCTGATATTTCGAAACTGTTTCAACCATCTTTTAATTCATTTTTTCGTAGGTGGAAGTTTATTAAATTCATGCCCGAATCCCCTCTGAACTATTTTCGGAGACTGCGTTTCCCATAACCAGAGAAATCTCATTGCGTTTTACTCCACCACGCCATTTGTCTATAAACATAAAAGTTCCCTGTTACCATTCCCCAAAATTAGAATAAATGAAATTCCTTGGTTATATCAATATAAATTATTTCCAGTTATTTAGAAAAATTACGTTACGATTTTAACTTAGTTATCCGGTGATTAAATTATGGACACACTCTACGAGTTTTGAGAAATTAGTCAACACTCACAAAGTGTGTCTGTAATTTAATGTGCTTTAATGACTTTATACAAAATAATTTGCATTTATCATTATTCAATAAATATGAAATATACCCCTTACTAACGGAATATGTCACTATTTCCGCACGAAAAATAGATCTGAACTATCGTATTTATGTGCTACAAACACTAAAAAAATTGGGATTACAGCCTATCCGGATGTTTGAAAGAAAAAAAAAGGAGGCATATTTGTAAAGGTTAACTAGGTATTTATAGTAATACAGATTATTTTTTTGTTCATCATATTTTATTTCAACAAAAAATGAAATGGTTTAATTTCTGTAAAGATAAAATACTATATATATTGAAAAATGTAGAAAATCGGCTATTTAACATTTTTTACCAGCCATGTTTTAAAAGAAAGCTAAGGATTACTTTTATTTAATCCCTGAAAATTTCAAAATATTATGAGCAGGAGGGTTTTTGATATCCTAAATTAAATATTGGAAAAGTAATGATATTGAAAAAAATCAGTAAATTATATTAGGGATTCGGAATCAGATTTGCTGGAAAAATTGTTTTCCAATGGTGCAGAGACTGAAATTTTTGTAATAATTAAATCGTTAAGCATTGATTAAAAAAAATCTACGTGTTTAAAAACAAAAACAATCGCACTAATATTAAATAATGTTTTTTTGATTTAAAGCCAAAGTTATTGGCTTTTGTAAGCACGAGCTGGTGCCGACTATTAACGTTTACTTGGTCATTATTATTTGTAGTGTCCTCTACAGCCTTTCTCTGTCACTGTTTTACTTACAAGACACAGCGCCAGTTGTCTTTCAGAGTTCTGGTCTAATTGTTGTTTTTTCAATGGCGGGCACTTGCCTATAACG